CCCAGAGGCTCCTTACACTATCCTCGCATTTTTGGATTCTTTTTTCATTCCGCCCCTCCGGTTGGGTGTTTTTTGCTTCCTCGCATTTCAAATCATTGACTTGATTCTTGCGCTCCTCTGGTCTGCTATCGGGAGTCTGTATAATATTCGTTATTTCAGTCCGTGTATGCTTAATTTCTAGTTGGTTCCCCATCATAACATCGAGGGTCTCATTAGTTTTCTTGTAGATCTCATTAAGTTTATCAGCGGCTTCTAAACAGTTCTTGAGAGACCTTAAAAGTGTGGTTCTGAACTCTATATCTTCCATTGCCAATTTTGTCCTGTTTCTTTGTCTCCGCATTTTGTTATGCTTTCTTGGTGCACCCCCTAGTGGTCTTTGTGCGCAGTCTTGTAGTTAAGCCTTGATTGTTGTAGCTAATACCAGGGAGGGTTTGACCTCCAGGCCAAGTGGCTGTGAGAATCAGCTGTCTTTAAAATGCATTTTTATTGATTTCAGAGAGGAAGGGAGAGAGAGATAGAAACATCAATAATGAGAGAGAATCACTGATCGGCTGCCTCCTGCACACCTCCAACTAGGGATTGAGCCCGCAACCTGGGCATGTGCCCTTGACTGGAATTGAACCTGGGACCCTTTAGTCCGCACGCCAACACTCTATCCACTGAGCCAAACCAGCTAGGGCTCTCACTTTCTTTACAAAAAGGCAATGGGAAAAATTCCTTAAGTGAGGATTTACACACACAAGAAAAGTTAACTTGTCAACTTCTCTGGGTAATTGTTAATTTTTGTATTATATATGTTCGGACTACATTGTAAAATGTGCAACCTCAGAATTATTAAATATTCATGGTGAAATATTGCTCTCATCAATTTGTAGTGAACCTCTTTTTCCCTGTAATGCTTCTGCATTAGTCTTTTTTGGGAGGTAAGTTTTATTGAGGCACAATTTACATAAAATTTGTAGATTTTCTTTTTTAATTCACTGGTTCTAAGTGAACAATTTGGTAGGTTCTTATAAATGAATATAGTTGTATAACCCCATCACCCCCCAAATTTCCCTTGTGCCCTTTGGCAGTCAATCCCCTTCCCTCCATAACCTGATAACCAGTCATTTGTTTCCTTTCATTATAGTTTTCTTGTCTTTTTTAAATTATACAAATGGAATCATACAGTAAAAAGAATTTTTTATACCTGGCCTCTTTCACTTAGATTAATGCTTTTGAGATTCATCCTTGTTCTTATATGTATCAGTTCGTTCCTTTTTATTGCTTAGCAGTATTCCACCGTATGGATATACAAGATGTTCATTCACTAGTCAATGAATATTAGGGGCGGCTTGTAGTTTCAGGGAATTATTCACTTAAAGTCGTTATAAAGATATATGTTCATTTCCCAATACCTAGAAGAGCTGGCGGATCATCTAATAAGCATGTGTTTAACTTTCTAAGAAACAAATAAACAAAAAAAAGGTTTCCAAAGTGACTGCATTCCAACCAATGATGTATGTGTTTCAGTTGCTCCCCATCTTTGATAACGAGGTATTCATCAGTCTTTTTATTTTAGTCATTCTAGTGTAGTATCTAACTGTGATTTTAATCAGCATTTCTCTAATAACTAATGATGATGAGAATCTTTTCATGTGTTTATCTGCCATCAGTATATCCTCTTTTGTAAAGGGTCTGTTCAAATCTTTAGCTCTGTTTTTTACTAAGTTACTTGTCTATCACTGTGTTGTTAAAGTTCTTTATATATTCTGGATACAAGTCCTTTGTTGTATATAGATATTCGTGTAAATGTTTTGTATGTTACTATAACTATAGCAATTTTATTTTGGTTGCTATTTGATTAGTGCAATTTTTACATCACTTCATGTTCAACCTTCTAAGTTTTAGGTGTCTCTTCTGAATAGCAAGTAGTAAGATTTAAATAATAATCTGATATTTGCAATTATTGTGATTACTGATATATTTGGATTTATTTCTATTACAACTTGTGATAACTTACCATGCAATTTATTTTGCTTTTTTCCAACTCTTCTCCTGTCTTCTTTTAGCATTACAGGTATTTTATATTCTCTTTCTCCCCTCTACTTTTAGTAGTTATCCTTAAAATTTTTAAATGCATACTTAATTTTTCGAATAACGATGAAAGCTACTTGGTGTTTCTATTCTCTTATCCCAAGACTGCATCACACTTTATTATGGAACGTACCACCACATCCTGAATATTTTTCAGGGTAGTTTGTACTCTAGTAGTTTAATTTCATAATTAAAATATGTAAGTTTTTTTTTAAATGTATTTCTTTATTGATTTCAGAGAGGAAAAGAGAAGGAGAGAGAGATAGAAACATCAATGATGAGAGAGAATCATTGATCGTTGCCTCCTGCACACCCCCTACTGGGGATCGAGCCCACAACCCAGGCATGTGCCCTTGGCCAGAATTGAACCTGGGACCCTTCAGTCCGCAGGCTGATGCTCTATCCACTGAGCCAAGCCGGCTAGGGCAAAATATATAAGTTTTTTAAAAATTTCATAATAAATATGTTTACCACATTTTATCAATTTCTGCATTTATCATTTCTTATATAAAATATCTTCCCTCTGAATTTACTTTCCTTTGTTGTTCTATTTTTTCTTTTACTTTCTTTTCTTTAGGAGGGGGTTGTTTTTTAGAGGTACATCCTTCATTAGTTCTTTCGGTGAGAATGTCAGTCTTTGTCCTAAAATGTCCTATTTTGCCTTGACTCTCCTAAGATAACTCAGCTGGCTATAAAACACAGGTTGACATTTATTTTCTTTCAGCAATTGTGTAGTCTTCTAGCACATACTTTGATGAAAAGAAGACTATTGTTGGCCTGTCAATTCTTTGTAGGTAATCTTTTTCTCTCTGGAAGCTTTTATTATTTGCTCTTTGTCCTTCATGTTCTGCAATGTGTCTAGATGTAGATTTATTTTTATTTATCCTACTTGGTACACTATATATTTTTTATCTGAACACTCAAGTTTGTCTTTACTTCCAGAAAAATTTCAACCATTATTTCAACCATTATTGCTTTCCATTCTCCTCTACTCTCTTCTCTAGAACTCCTATTAATGTATACCAGCACCTCCTTTAAGGGCTCTTTTGTATTTTTTTTTTAAAATATATTTTATTGATTTCTTATAGAGAGGAAGGGAGACAGAGAGCCAGAAACACCAATGAGAGAGAAACATCGACCAGCCGCCTCCTGCACACCCCCTGGGGATGTGCCCGCAACCCAGGCACACGCCCCCAACCGGAACCGAACCCGGGACCCCTCAGTCCGCAGGCCGACGCTCCATCCACTGAACCAAACCGGCTTCGGCTCTTTTGTATTTTTATATGTGAAATTCTTCAGCACATCAATTAATTTATTAAGCTGTCAAACAGTGGCTTAAATACAGAGTCAGTCCATAACTGGTACAGCAGCTCCACAATGCCACCAGAGACCCAAATGCTTTCTACTTTCCAAATGATCACACTCCGCATATGCTTGCCATTCTCCATCACCATATGACTGCTCCACCTCCAACACTGGGCGACTGTGTTGGGAAGACAAAGTAGGGTAAAGAGTCAAGCCATTCATGCCTGCCCCATTTTGAAGGGTTTTCCCAAAAGTCCCACCTGGAAACTTTTTTAAACTTTTGTTTATACTTGCAAGGGAGGTTGGGAGGTTTTTTTATCTTGGTATACTGCTACCCTAAACAAAATTCTGTTCTATTATGAGGAAAGAGAAAGAATGGGCAAGAATTACTTGAATGTAAGTTTCTTTTTTTTTTCTTTCTTGCTCTGTCTCACGTTTCTTCCCCACCAATCCCCAACCTTGCCCTCACTCATTTTCTCCCTTTGGAGAAATTTTACTTACTTTCTTCATTCATTCCTTCAGCCCCCCCAAGGCCAGAACCAGGTCTCATACTGGTGGTGCTGGGTTCCTGCCCCATGGTTGATATGGGAATTACATACATTCATTCATTAAGCCAGTTGGAGCTTGATCATTTCCTGCTCACAAGCCATATAATTGGGTCCTCTCACTTCTTTGGGACCATAGATAGAAATCAGCCTTGGTTCCAGTGACTGGTTAACAGTTTTGGTTTTTTGGTTTTGGTGTGTTTTTTCCAGCTTTCTTTCAGGAACAAAGACTACTACTCATCTCCTGGCTTTAAGCAATAAGACGGTGCCAAGTCCCTCATCATGAGCAGAGCACTTTTAGACCCAAATACTTACAACAGCTGAACTCCTGGGTGGCCGCAACCTTTGAGACCCAGAGCCCAGAAGGTCCTCAGTTTCAGACCTACTCACCACTTACATTTTTATTCTATATTCTTAAGCCCAGCTATATCTTTTTTATATATTTATCTTTATATTATGCATATTTTATCTACACTGCTGTATAGACATGCAGATTGGATGTTTCAAAGCATGAATTTACAGCCATTTTGTCTGGAGGCTCTCTTAAATTCAGATTGCCTTTGATGGGAAATTCTCTAGTACAGATGCAAAAAATGACGTCTCCATGGCTGCTGGCTGGAGACTTTTGACGCCCCGCAGTCTGAATTTTAGTCTAACAAGGGAGAGAGGAGAAACTAGAAAGAATCTATATTGGTGATGGATAATGGCAGCTACTTCTAGTCTCCAAAAGCAGCTTCTAGTGTTAGAATCTTCTGTCTGCTCTTGGTGTTACCAGTGACTACCAATGGAGACATGAGTATCTTCCAAAGGACTCCACAGCAGAACTTGGGGCATGGATACCATTTGGCTCTCCCATAAAGTCTGTAATGTAAACAAAGCTGCTTGATGCTTAAATTAGCCTGAGTCAGTTTTTTCATTTAAACCTAAGAACTCTTAAAGACCAGTTTTGTGATGTAAGCATTAACAATGCTCATATTGTTTTCTTTTAAAAGATGTGAAAAAGCTATAAAAAGCATATGATTTTTTAAAATTAAGATGATCAAATGAAGAATAATTCATCTTTGTGAGTCTTACCTTTCCCCCAACAAGAGGCAAAATGTGCATCTTTCCAGTTTGACAGTCCTTCACTGAGGAAACGATGAGGCAGGTGCCACAGAGAACAACTAGGCGTTCAGCCCACTTATGCAGCTGAGTCTTCCCCTTGCGTACATTATAGATGCCAGAGAGAAGGATTCGATCCAGTTGATCCATCTGGCATGGTTTCTCTGAAAAAAAAGAAAAAGAAAAAAAACAACAACAGTACTTAGAAGCCACACTTTAAGTAGAAGAAAAACACTAAAAGGAAAAAAGGAAGTATTATGTGTCAACATACAGCAACCTGGTTTAGAGATGTAAGCAACCAAGCAATATAAGTATTACAAAATAAGATCTTAGCCCTGACTGGTTTGGCTCAGTGGACAGAGCGTCGGCCTGCGGACTGAAGGGTCCCAGGTTTGATTCCGGTCAAGGGCATGTACCTTGGCTGTGGGCACATCCCCAGTAGGGGGTGTGCAGGAGGCAGCTGATCGATGTTTCTCTTTCACCGATGTTTCTAACTCTCTATCCCTCTCCCTTCCTCTCTGTAAAAAAATCAATAAAATATATATTTTTTAAAAATCTTAGTACTAAAATGTCATCTATCACTGAAGTTATATAATGGGAGTATATGAATTTTGGTTTAGAGAGCATACATAAGGGAGGCAACTGATCATTGTTTCTTTCTCATTGATGTTTCTCTCTCTCCCCTACTTCCTCACTCTCTAAAAATCAGTAAAAACATATCTGCAGGTGAGGATTAAAGAAAAAAATTAAAAAGCACTGAATTGTGTACTTTTAAAGGGTGAATTTTACGATATGTGAGCTATCCTATATAATAAAAGGCTAATATGCAAATCGGCCAAATGGTGAAATGACTGGTCGCTATGACATGCACTGACCACAAGGGGGCAGACGCTCAATGCAGGAGCTGCCCCCTAGTGCTCAGTGTGTTCCCACAGGGGAAGCATCGCTCAGCCAGAAGCTGGGCTCATGGCTGGTGAGCGCAGCGGGGGTGGCGGGAGCTCTCCCACCTCCACAGCAGTCGGACATCCCCCAAGGGCTTCCGGACTGCAAGAGGGCACAGGCCTGGCTGAGGGACCGGGACCCCCGCCCCCCATCGCCCAGTACACAAATTTCATGCACCGGGGCTCTAGCATCTCAATAAAGTTCTTTGATTTTTTTACCTCATTATTTTCCCCAAACCTGACATTGCTTTTATATTCCCCAACTTGGTTAACAGCATCATTTATTACAAAGTTCTACTAAATATAAAAATGGGACTTCATTATAGTTTATCATGCTTCTAAATTGCTTACCAATCTCTTTTAAAGTTTACATGAAACAGATGTTGCAATTGATGCATAACTTTTTGTCTCTTTTTTTTCTTGGTTTTATTTCTCTATATATTTTCTTACAGAGGAAACTTCTAAATCTATCTACCACCACTCTCAGAAGGGAACATTAAATTCTGGTGGGGTTTTTTTTTTCTCATTGAATTCAATATGTTTGAATTAATTAAATTCAATCAATTTGAATATTTTAGAAATAAAACCTTTAATACTTTTTTATTTTTCAGTTACAGTTGACATTCAACCTTATTTCATATTAGCATCAGGTGTACAGCATAGCGGTTAGATATATATATAATTTACAAAGTGATCCCTCCAACAAACATGCTATTTTATTATTAATTTTGGAGACTTTGTAAACATCCAGAGTGCCTCAAGTCTCTAACCTTCTGAAAGTGATAAAAATAAAAAAATTAAAAAAACACAAAATGAGGAGGTTCAAATAAGAATTTAGAATATCTGATAGTTCTAATTTTTTTTTTTTTGATAGTTCTAATTTTAAAAACTAGTTTCCCAGTCTCAAAAGCCAAAATTCTAAGTGGAAAATAAGGAATAATTTTAATACCCTTATATACCTATACTTTCAAATGTTCTAGAGAAAATGGATTGCTTTTATAATTTAAAAAACATTTCCAAAAAGAGAATTAAGGGCAACCCTGTAGCAATGAGTATCTCCACTGCCTATAGCATAACATCTAAATATCATTTTTCATTAAAATGAACCCTAAGTCCTTAAAAAATGTTCTATTCCTACTCTGAGTCAGACAATGAAAAGAATAGCTTAGGACATTTTGTTGTGTAAGAACTTAATGGAAAATCCAGAATGCTACCAAAGACTTTTGGAGTCATGTTGGAAGGACATAGGAGCCAACTGAAAAGAGCTCCCACTAGCAGAGATGGGACAAGCTGAGCCTAAAGGGAATGGCTGTAATGCGTTGAAATAAATATATACAAGCCCAGGAGATCATAATGATACTCAAAACAAACAAAGAATAAAAAATGAAGTCATCCAGATAGACTATGAATATAAACTGAAAGGCAAAACAATAAATTTTTAGTGTTAAATTGCACTATTATGCAAATGAAGTACTTCCTGGTTCTGATAACATGGAGAAAGCACACTCCCCTGTCTCCCGCACTGAATGCACCTATAAATCCTGGACAGAAAACACATGCAGCAGCTGGATGAGGACCCCGAAAACTAAATAGTAGTGGTAGGTTAGGGAAGAAGAACAGAATTTGAAATACCACATAACCGGTGGTGAGCTTACACTTTTTCTTCCTCTGACATCCTCCAGCCAGGACTCAAGAAAAGCCCAAAACCCAGAAGTGGGCATTGGTGTAGACAGAGAGCTCTCGGAGAAGCCCTCAGCTCTACCTTGAGGAGTGAGAAAAAGGTCTAACACTCAGAGAAAGTGGGGGAAATTCCTCATTTTTTTTCTTGTTATGCCCCCTTTTGTTCATTTTCTCAAGTCTCATCGCCCTGAATGGCTGCAATGGTGGGGGACCCGGGCACCTACAAAACTCTCAGGGGGCCCTAACCGGTTTGGCTCAGTGGATAGAGCGTCAGCCTGCGGACTGAAGGGTCCCAGGTTCGATTCTGGTAAAGGGCATGTACCTGGGTTGCGGGCACATCCCCAGTAGGGGGTGTGCGGGAGGCAGCTGATAGATGTTTCTCTTTCACCGATGTTTCTAACTCTCTATCCCTCTCCCTTCCTCTCTGTAAAAAAAAACAGTAAAATATATTTTAAAATAAACAACTCTCAGGGGGGTGAAACCTATTGCACTGTCTGTCTCCTGCTGCTGAGCCCTGGAGTGTGGATGCAATTGTGGGAAGTACCCAACAGAGCGGATTAAAGCACCAGGACATCTCGAACAGAAAGGAGCTCTGGAAAACAGATCCTATGTAGTTGTCAATAAAGTGGGCTCACCCTTGATGTACCTAAGAGTCAATGTGATCCTAAACAGCATGCCAAAAACTGAAAAGTGAACTAAGGGACAGAATCAGAGGGAGAGAAGAAAGTACAATGCTTGAAAATTATTTGAAGAAAAAAAAATTATCTCAAGAAATAATAGATGAGCCCTGGCTGGTGCGGCTCAATTGGTTAAACATAGCCCCGTGCACCAAAAGGTTGCTGGTTTGATTCCCAGTCAGACACATGCCCAGGTTTTGGGCTAGATCCCCAGTAGGAAGCACACAGGAGGCAGCCAATCAATGATTCTCTCTCATCATTAATGTTTCTCTCTTCCTTTCCCTTCCTCGCTCTTTAAAAGCAATAAAAAAATAATAATAGGTGAGAACTTCACAAGTGAAAGACATAACTTATAGATTCAAGTTCAGTGAGCCCTAGCCAGGTTAGCTCAGTGTATAGGCCCGCAGACTGAAGGATCCTGGGTTAGAGTCCAGTCAATGACACATCCCTCAGTTGCAGGTTCCCCAGCCCTGGTCAGGGTGCATGCAGGAGACAACCAATTGCCAATTGATGTGTCTCTTTCACATCGATGTTTCTCTCTCTGTCTCTTCCTTTTCTTTCCTCTCTCTCTATAAAAATCAATGAAAAAATATCCTTGGGTGAGGATTAATAAAACAATTTAAAGAAGTTCAATGAACCCCAAATAGGATAAACCCAAAGGAATTCAAGCCCAGACGCTTAATAATCAAACTGTAGAAAATTAAAAACAAAAAAAAAAAATTTGAAAGAAGCTAGAGAAAAGCTGAAGCACTACTGAACAATTCAATGGCTGCATGAAGGTAGAGTGTGCAGGAGCTCTCTGTATTATCTTTCCAGCTGCTCTGAAAATCTAAAGCTAGCTCAAAATAAAAAGATAAAGACAAGTAAATAAATATTGGCTGATATGTTGGGTGTAAAAATGAAATATTTGCTTACATTTAAAGAATAAAACAGGAAACCTCAAAACAAATTTCAAATTTGCAATAGGCTCCCCATACAACACAAAAAAATTCTGCTCTTCGAAGTATTTCAGCAAAAAACTCTGAGAAGCAGTGATGGCTAAACAGTTCCACCATCTAGTTTCATAATCCCAAACCAGTCTTCATATATCCTTAGGTCTTAGTTTCTCAAGTTTAAGACAAAGGAGTTGGATTAGATGATCCCTAGTCCTTCCCAGTTCTCACATTTTATGGATTTCTCATACTTCTCTAAACTATTTCTCCAACAACTAAATGGTGGAGTATCTTAGAAGTTAAAAGATTGAAATCTGGAACCAGGCAGATTTACGTACTTCCTAATAACTATGCTATTTGACTGGGGCAAGTTATAACCTCTCTGGAATAATAACATCTACTTATAGGGGTGTGAGGATTATATGAAAGGCACATTAGAAAGTGCTCAGCACATACAAGGGTATAAAACGAATATCGGTTATTATAATGAAAGTTCTGCCTTAAGCCAACTTCTTTCCTAATAAGTATTTTTTCAAGATATCTGAACTTCCACAACTTTAACATCCCCATGTACCTGACTCCCAGATCTGTATTTCTTCAGCTCTAGTTCCACATTTCTAACTTTCTGGCAGACATCTTCAACTGGATACTTACTACACTTAAAAGGAAACACGGACCAAAACCTCTGAAAATCGGAGAAACCAAGATGGCGGCATAGGTAAACACCGGAAATTGCTGCCTTGCACAACCACTTCAAAAATACAACTAAAAGACAAAACGGACATCATCCAGAACCACAGGAAGGCTGGCTGAGTGGAAATTCTACAACTAGAAGGATAGAGAAAAGCATAATGAGACTCAGAGGAGGTGGGGAAGTAAAGTGCCGAGGTACGGAGGCACACATGGAAAGGGCTGGGAACAGAGGATGCGGTTG